AAATATTATCCAATTAAATTTATGATATGAATTAACCAATAAAATAAGAACTAAATATTCATATCATAACAATACACTTCTGTCGCAGTAAGAGAAGATTCATATTTAACCCAACTCGACATTTCTAAAAAGAATTTCAGGAACTTTGGGCCTTTTATTTTGGGATGGTTGGGGGTATTATTATTTTTTTGTTGGATTTTTTCTGCAATAGATGGGTCATTAAAAATTTCTTCTCTTTCATCTCTATTTTGCTGGAAGTATTTCACAATGAATGAACCATTATAACACGCGTGACTGAACCACCACTGATCCTTGTCATGTGTGCGTTTACAAATTGAACATTCTAGATATGCTTTCTGATTAAAGTATATGAAATACTGAGAATCTTTTTCTTCGATATCTCACCCTCCAAGATAATCAGAATATTTTTGCAGAACTAGATTAGCATATTTTTTTAGTGAATCTTGACCAACGATTATTTTTTTCTGATTTATTTTCTCTACACTAAATATGCGAGGACGTACTTCTAAATTCATATTAATTGGTGGTTGAACTCAGCTGTCATTGAGATTATACCATTTATTATCTAGTGAGTATTGGAGAATGCGCTTCACACGATCTTTTTTTGCTGAACCTATTAAGCGAAGACAGAAATTTCGACCAGGTAACCCTCTATCAATAAACTTACCATATTTTTCTCCATTAATCTGTATACTAATTCTGTAAATTCTTTGAGCTCCTGATAATCAACAAGAAGAGTTGGAGCGTACAGAAGGTGATAACTGTATTTATTATTATCAGATGATGTCATAATTACCAACCCTTTAATAATTTCTTCCCAACTACAATCAAGAATTCGATACAACGCTCTTACAAATGAACAACAAATGCTGAAAAACACATTTTTAGTATTAACATTTTCAGCTTCCATTTTTTCTTTAAAATACGTCAATATCAATCACAGCTCTTAAAGGCCATTGCCCGTTAATACATTCATGAATTCCAGGTAACTCATATATCTCAGATATATTATCTATGACAGAGAACTTTGGTGCTTGTTTATCTTTTTGATCAATTTGAATAATCAATTTATTGGTTAACTCCTTCCATGTATATGCATTGTTACGATCCAAATATTCTATAATATAGTTATTTTAATGTTAGTTAATAACTTTTATTATATTTAACATTTTTAAT